GATGTCATGAAATCTGTTAGGGCAAGCTCTATTGCGGGCACCTCTCCTTGCTCCTCAAAAGTGGAATCCCCTGCTGGATCTGCCAGTGCTGCAATTGGGGCAGCTTTGGGACACCCTTGTCCCCTACCTCGGGTCGGTGCCCTCCCCCGGCCTCTGCCTCGGCCTCTAGCAACGGGGGGAGCAACTCCTCCCGGGTCTGGAACGTACGTCGTACGCATCCTCGCCATCTGTTGGAGAATAGAATAAGTAAATTTAGTACATCATCAACTGCACGATAGGAGATGAATAAAGAGTAGTTTTCTAACACCATATAGCCACTCGAAGATACACAAACATCTCAGTACCGATCCGTAAGACATTACCAGGTTTGCCTATATCTTGTGAGACCTACGTGAACCTACTACTCTGATACCATGTTGTCACGACCCAAAGTTTATATTAGGCCGTGATGGTATCTAACACTACTGTTAGGCAAGCCAACACTAATCGATTAATAAATTCTCATTTGTGTAGTTAGTACGTGATGACTTCCGTTATAGATTTAAGAAATTTATAGTTTAAAACTTTAAGCATATTTAAATGGAAATGATAAATGCGAATCTCAATCATGAAGACAAGCCAAAACATCATAAGAGTCCACTCTATGCGCCGGACTGATGGCCAGATGCACCTGCCTCAAAGTCTCTACAATCAAGTATAGAAGTGTAGCATGAGTACATAGAGATATGTAACCAGTAAGTATCTCGCCAAACCTCGTAGAAGTAGTGACGAGAGGTTGACTCCGACACTTACTAGGGCCAGCAAATATAATAATGTGAAGTTCAATATATTTAATTTACAATGTATGTAAATAACAACAAACTCAAACAAGAATAATTATGGAAAAGTCCTTCATCCAATTAATAAAACTAGACACTTTCCTCATTAAAAAAAATAATAAGAGATCTTTCAAGCAATAAGTCATACTAATTATAAAGGTTCCGGTTCTATTATCACACACAAATACCACCGAGGACGTTCGGCCTGATCTAATATAAAAGTAAAATGTACACCGCTGAGGGTCGAACGACCCGAGCCATATATACATTTACTATCCTGCCGAGGCAAACGGCCCGCTCCCATGAGAGTAGTGGAAACAAACACCCCGCTCGCGAAATATATTTGTGACGCGGTTAAGTATAAATATAACTTAATGTTTTCCCCAATTCTTATCAAAATAAATATTTACTTGGAAACTTGAAATCATAAAATCTTCGACTAAATTCCAATCAATGCAAACCAGCAATTATATTCAAATAACGGTACACACAAAGCATGGTGTAAGCCTAGAACTACCCGGACATAACAAGAATAGTAGCTACGTACGGACTNTCGTTTCAAGCCTACTTCCAACTCAAGAATGCGTTCAAACTCTCAAACCGGAGCCGTACAATCCGAAACTATTCAAATAGTGTATAAGTTCATCATTATAGGTTTATAAATTCACATTCTAGCTATTAAAGCGATTATCCAACCCCAAAGGCAAGGTTCCTAAAATTCAACCCCGGACCCATGTGCCGGATTCCGGAAATTTTCAAAGGAAGTTGTTACCCATAACCTAAGGATCAAGAATATATGATTTTTACTTCATTCCATAACGAATTCCGTGGTTAAATCTTATTTTTATCAAAACCCTAGGTTTTGCTCTAATCCCATAATTTTCACTAATCTTTGCATGTTAATCTACCCAAAATCCAAGTATTTAACCACATATAGTAGGAATTACTTACCTCTAAAAGCTTGGTAAAAATCCTCACTCAAGAGCTCCAAAATCGCCCAACCTTTGAGTGGAAATGAGCCAAAAATGGCTAAATCCCGCAATAAATGAAGGTCACTGCCTTCAGTGATTTCCGCATCTGCAGTCTTGGGCTGCACCTATGCCCACTGCATCTGCGAAATTTTTTTGGGCTGGCTAGGCCTCTTCTATGGGAAGACAACCGCTTTTGCGCAAAGAGGCTTCTTTTGCGTTCCTGGGCTGACTACCCATGGCCGCATCTGCGATGGCCCAGCCGCTTCTGCGGGCTTACACCTGCGGCTGGCCAACCACAGGTGCGGTTATGACAGAAGCTTGGAGCTTCAGCTCCTTCCCACATTTTCAACTAAGCTCGAGCCTCGTCCGATTGATGCTCGAGGCCCCTGGGGCCTGCCCGAACACACCCACAACTTTGTAAGGATAAAACGGACTCGCTCGAACCCTCAAAATGTCAGAAACAACATAAAAACTAGAAATCACACCCTAAAACCAATTGATTCAAACTTATGAACTTCAAGTTCTTCAATTTACTTCCAACAAGACGAAACACACTTATACTACTCGGATTGACACCAAATTTTGCGTGCAAGTATTAAATGACATTACAAAAATATTCTCAATATCAGAATTCCATTCGGACCTTGATAACACAAAAACCCGCTCCAAACCAAATTTAAAGAACTTCAAAATCCTTAAGGAAGCAACTTTCACTATTAGGCACCAAAATGCTCTTGGGTCATCCAAAACCCGATCCGGACATACACCCAAGTTCGAAATCATCATACGAACCTATTGGAACCATCAAATCCTAATTTCGAGGTCGTTTACGCAAAATATTGACTGAAGTCAAACTTGACCTTTTAAGCCAACCTTAAGGAACCAAGTGTTCTGATTTCAACCCCAACTCTTAAAATCCCGAACCAACCATCCCCGTAAGTCATAAATTAGTAAAAGAAAATATAGGAATGTGGTTCTAGAAAGTAAAACGACCAATCGGATCATTACAGCTATGGAATATAATTATTTAAAAGGGTATTTATTTTAAATAAATAAGGTATCAACATTTGCTATAGGAAATAAAAATTCCTTGTTTTAATCGATTGACTTGATATGATCGATGCAAACATTGATAACAAACTTAACCTTGTGTTGTGCCTTGTCTTAGTGCAACTTGATGTGTCTATTGGATGGCAAAAGCAACTAATCCACTCTCCACCCAAAGGTCACTTCAAATTAAACATGACTGGTGCCTCAACTGGACGCACAAGTAAGGCGGGCCTAGTTAGGAATAATAATGAAGACTGCCACTAATGCAGAATTATTTAGAGAAATTTAAAAATATCCAGATTTACAAGTGGTAATTGAAAAATAGCAAGTGAACAAAAATATTGTTCAAAATTCAAAAAATATACCAGCATAATATACTGGAGTTCGAATTCTTTACATTTGAACTTCCAGCATAATATGCTGGAAGTTCATACACAGATGATCCACTCTGCAGTATATTATACTGGAACTTTTTGTGTGTTGGAGTTCCAATATAATATGCTGGAAGTTCATACACATGCAGGGGTGGATCTATGTACATGGTTCGGGGTGGTACGCCACCCGTAAGCTTCGGCGAATATATATATGTGTGTGTGTGTGTGTGTGTGTGTGTGTGTATGTGTGTAAAAAATAGTATATATATTTATAGTGCCACCCACAGAACAAAAGTGCCTAAGGTGCCAGTGGCAAAGGTCCATCTTTTTTTTCTGCTGGTTGTGAGTTCAAATCCAGCACACAACACATTTTTTATGTTAAATATTTTACTTTTAACTAATAAGATAAAGTAATAATAAAAAGCTTTATAAGTAAAATAAGATTTCTAGGAAGCTAAAAGCCTTCCTCACTTTCCCATTTCCCAAAATTATCTCCTAACTCCCCAACCTCGTCTCCAGCAAAAAATTAATCCCAATTCCTAACTTCCCAACCCCCACTTTGCTTGTCCAATTTCGGTTCTCACGCTTGCGGCTCACCTCTTCACTTCTTCTCTTTTGCTGTTTCAAAGCACGTTTGTTCACTGGTCACTGCTCTATGGCCACTATTATAAAGCTTCCTCACTTCCTCTTGTTTATTTCTTCATCCTATGTGGGCTGTGACTATTTTTTCTCCATTAAATATATATTTTTCTGTTTTTTTTTTGTATTTAATTGGATTTTGATATTCTTGCAAAACTTTATTGTCACTTGTGATTTATTTGTTATGTATTTCTTTGGTTTTGTTGAAAATCCTATGCCACTTAAATGGTTTCATTGTAGAAATTAATTTCGTGGCTAAAAGAGAAAGAACATCCCCAATATTTTTGACCAAGAAAAATTCAAAATTAACTCCATTTTAACAATAAAAAGTATTAGGAAAGTTGAATAATTTTCATTGGCTAAGCTTATTGATGGTATAAAGTAGTAGAAATTATTCTATATTCCATAGTGAGCTACATAGAAAGATTTCTCACTAGAATGAGCTTTATAGGAATTGAATTCAGATGGATAAATTTGTCACAAGGTTGGACCATTCTCAACCAAGTCCTAGTTGTCAATCCTTGAGCCAAGCGAATGCCAATGTTTCCCATCTTATAAATGAACTCGATTTGGGCTCGCTTAAAGGCGATCCAGGTACCTATCGCAGATTACCACCCTCGAATACGAGATGAAGTAAGGAAACGTTATATTCAACAAGGTCCTTGCTAACCTTTCAAGCATCAATTTCCCAAAACTCAAATAGGAGGAAGAATGCGTCAATTTGTTCCAAGTTGATTCAAGGTCCAATTTTGTAAATGGTTGGAGTATAGTGTGAAGAAAGATGCGGCATATTGCTTATGTTGTCATTTGTTCAAAAATGAATTTATTCATGGAAGTACGGGCAAATTTTATACAAAGAATGGCTTTAGGGCTTGGAATAAGGGCCTTGAAAGATTTCGTTTACATGTTGGTGATGTTAATAGTGTCCATGATAAATGTTTCAAGAAGATGCTAGACTTATCAAATCAACATCAATCAATTCAAGTTGTTTTTGATAAGCACCCCGCTAAGTTGAAAAGCGAGTATCGGATGCGTTTAGAAGCATCAATTGATGTGACAAGACTTTTATTGTTGTATGGATTGCCTTTTGGGGATCATGATGAAAGTGAAACTTCAACTAATCAAAGCCTCCTTCTAGGATTCTTACAATGGTATGGGGACAAGCATCCGGATGTGGAAAGGTCATATTAGAAAATGCTCCACAAAATGATACTTTGACTTGCCCTATGATCCAAAAGGATATTATTAATGTTTGTGCAAAAGAAAAAATAAAGGCTATAATTGGAGACATAAATGGAGATTACTTTGGTATATTAGTTGATGAGTCTAAAGATATCTCACACACAGAACAGATGGCTCTTGTTTTGCGTTATGTTGATAAGAATGGTAAAGTAGTAGAGAAATTTGTTGGTCTTGTCCATGTTAGTGATACATCGGCATGCTCATTGAAGGAAGCAATCTACTCTTTGCTTTCAGAGCACTCACTAAGTCCATCATAAATACGTGGACAGGGTTATGATGGAGCTAGTAACATGAGGGGGGAGATAAGTGGTCTCAAGACTTTGATTATGAAAAATAGTTCATCAGCATGTTACATTCATTGCTTTGCGCATCAGTTGCAATTAACACTTGTAGCTATTGCTAAAAAGTATTTTGATGTTGAAGACATCTTTTGCCATGTTACTAACTTGTTGAATGTCATTGGAGGATCTTTTAAGCACAGAGATTTGCTTCGACATTTTCAAGCTGAAAAGTTGGAGCAATTACTTGAGTCCGGTGAAGTTCATATTGGGCGAGGACTAAATCAAGAACGCGGGCTTCAAAGACCAGGTGATACTCGTTGGGGATCACATTTGAAAATATTGGATAACTTTATTGTTATTTTCTCATCTATTGTTCGTGTGCTTGAAGTGATTAAATATGAAGGTTCTACCTCAAATGAGAGAAATCAAGCAAACTATCTTTTGAGTGAGATGACAACATTCAAATTTGTTTTTATGCTTCACTTGATGTTGAAAGTTTTGGCAATGTCAAATGAGTTGAAAAAGATCCTACAAAAGAGGGATCAAGATATTATGAATGTCGTGGAGTTTCTTAACATCACAAAGAAAAGATTGCAAGATATGAGAGAAAGTGGATGGAAATCTTTACTAGATGATGTTTCCTCATTTTGTGTTATGCATGACATTTTGATTCCCAAGATGGATGTATCTTATTTTCCTGGAAAGTCGACGCAAGTCTTCCGGTGTTTGTTATTCATACTACTTGCGTGTTGATATTTTTTATGTTGTAATTGATGTGCAGCTTCAAGAGCTTAATGACCATTTTGATGTAGTGAGTAGCGATTTGCTTCTCGGGATGGCTAGCTTGAATCCGGTTAAATCTTTTGCTAATTTTGATAAAGGTAGAATAATGACTTTAGGAAACTGCTACCCAAATGAGTTTGATGAAGTACAGATTCGAGACTTGAGTTATCAACTTGATACTTTTATAGTGCTGGTAATCTCAAGTTCTCCAACTTACAAGGAATTAGTGATTTGGCAAAAGCATTGATTGAGGCAAATCTTGTGGAGACTTATTCTTATGTTTATTTACTTGTGAAGTTGACTCTCATTTTGCCTGTTGCTACCGCAACTGTGGAGAGAGCATTCTCATCCATGAAGCAGATAAAGAATGAAGAACGGAATAGCATGGGTGACCAATATTTAAATGATTGTTTAGTTTGTTACATAGAGCGTGATATATTCACAAATGTAAGTAATGATGTCATTATGGATCGTTTTCAAAATATGAAAACTCGTCGAGCACAATTGTAAATAGATGATGTATATTTATAATATTAATATTATTGTTGGAAGTTCTATGGTTGCGTCAATTAGCTATAGTTATTATACTTTTTCCGTTTGATAGATTTTTGTCTATATAAATAAAAAAGATGAATAACCTGAACCGCCGCCCGAGTTGATCAAATCGATTAGCTTGGCACCCGGAACCTCCAAATCCTAGATCCTCCTTTGTACACATGTGCACCAATCTCCAGTATATTATGTTGGAACTTTCTGTGTTGCGGCTAAATAGTGGCTATTTTTCAAAGACATTGAAAATGCTGGCTATTTTTCAATTACCAGTTCTAAAACCGGCTAGCCCGTGCTATTTTCACTGAATTATTCCGGCGGGCTAACTTGGGTTGATCCTATAAGTCTCGCTTTTAAATGAGCTAGAAAATTTTTAGCCCAATCTTATCCAAGTAATGGGTTGGATTAGGCTAGACTCATGAGCCATGCTCACTTTGATTACTCTAATTATTCGCCTTATTCTATGGAATAAAATTAGCTTTAAATCGAGGTCTACAACCATTGAATTGATTAATGGAAACTCCATTAAGCGCTCTAATATTATTTATGATGGCAGGTTATTAATAAAAAAAAAAGTTGGGGAATTCGATTTTAAATATACTTTCGGGCTAAAAATGAATGAACCAGGCCAATTTCAACACTTTTGTTTATCTCCCAGTTCCATATTTATTTACCATTATTCATCTAAAGATAGATAAGGATAGAATAAACATTGCTACACTTTTCTCAACTGCTACATTTTGGCACATCTTGAAAATTTAAGTGCTAGTAATAGCACTACTATGCCTGAAAATGATAATTATTAGTATGGTACTTATACAATCGTCTGCATAAGCCGATCCAGTAGATTGTATGTTTTTATAACATTAGAAAAGAATAAATAAGAACATAATGTTTTCCAAACAAAATAATGCTAGCTAATATGGAAGAAAACAAATGAATTATAGTACTTACTTCCATTTAGTGCATGCTCAGATGAAGCCCATATTCAAAAATCAAAATTAAATAGTATATAGGCCCATCTTCTACTATGGCAAGCCCACAGGCTTAGCAGACTAGAATACGAAATATACAGGTGAAATTCAAAAATAGCCAGATTTACAACTGGTCGTTTAAAAATAGCCCAATTTCAAAAGTAATCGAAATTTAGCTATTTTTCATGTAAAAATAAATCTGAGCGAAAACACTGTTCAAAACCCGAAAAATACGCAAGTATATTATGCTGGAGTTCCAGCATAAGTACATTTGAACTCCAGCATATTATACTGGAGTTCCAGGATAAGTATGTTGGAACTCCAGTATAATATGATGGAGTTCCAGCATCAGTACACTAGAACTCCAGCATATACTGGAGTTCCAGCAAGTATACCGGTCCAGCATAATATACTGGAGTTTGGAGCACCGGTGCTTCACTCTCCAATATATTATACTGGAGCCAGCAAAATATATCGGTCCAGCATAATATGCTGGAGTTCATACACAGGTGCACTGAACTCCAGTATATTATGCTGGACCGGTCTCTGTTGCAGCAAAATAGTGGCTATTTTTCATTGACTTGATACACACTGGCTATTTTTGAATGACCAGTCCGAAAACTTACTATACCGTGCTATTTTCGCGAAATATACTTAGATTGGGCTTTGTTTCTTGGGGTCCTCTGTATTACGTCCAATTCTTCTATTTTTTGTGGAAAACAGGTGATGTTAAGCACAATATTTTATTTTGGAGAATAAATACCTATAAATTTTTTGAATCGAAGTAAAAGAATATGCTTGATTGGGCCAAAGGCATTGTCGAGAAAAATGTATATATTTATTTTATTGCCATATTCAAAAACATAATGCAGACAAAAGCTTTTCAGCGTTGATTTTTTTTTCTCTCTTTTAAATGTATAATATAATCCTAACTCTTTAAAATTTTGTTGGACTGTGAAAGGTTGTAATAGCGATGGAGGCAAAGAGAATACGTCGCACCTAGCACAAGGGACAAACAGAGAATTTAGGACTTTGGATTCATTAGATGAGTTTTGTCCTTTTCAATATTTAAACAAATTAGGCCCACTAAATTCCAACCCGACCAACCCACTTACGCCATTTAATTTTTCCTAAATAAAGAGTGAAGGACTCCAAAAGAAAATAAAAGAAAAGAGTGAACGATTTTTGCGGTGATATTTTTGGGGTTTTTTAGGGATTGCGGAGGTTATATTTTTCTTCCCTTGTTAATCATATGATGTTATAAAAAGAAAAAAAAATATTAAGCAAAAGAAAGTTTTTACATAGATAAGCAGAAAAATTGATAGAGAGGAAGATAATAATGAATATGCAATTTACTAATTAAAACTTCTTAATACATGAGGTGACATTTGGTATTTCTGGAGTCGTTGAGAATTCTCTACCTCTTTTATTTATTTATTTATATTTTTTTTGTCTTTTTGTTGTTTTATTTTGTGTTTTCTCGCGTAAAGAGATAGTACCAAATACAATGCATATTTTTTTCCCAATAATACCATGTTCTTGGATTTATGTTCCATGCAATCGTTTAAAAAACAAATCAAATTCCCATGCCAATGACTTCTTTTTATTTTTTTTTTCCTTCCAAGTGATATCATATCTTTCTCACAATTGTACTGATGATTGGTATCTCTTTGAAAAAGAAGAAGAATTCTTTTTCTTTATCTCTTTTTATTGTGGGATTACAATAAGCTAAAATAAATGAAATTTCAGTCCATAATCTTTTTGTTCATGCATCAAAATAAAAGTATTACTCCTTTGAAATAGCTAGTGTATACGGTCGAAATCGGGCTCGTCTACTACATGACAGATCAGGCTCGGAGCACGAGGGACTGAAGATCGACCACAGTCCCACCAGGCCAAAATCCGAGATCCGAATTTCCATCCTCAAGAACATTGAGTCCTTAATCCCGGAATCGATTTTGACCCCAAACGAGCTCGAGGAAACGTTGACAGTATAACCGATAAGACCGGAATAACGGAAAGCCGAAATATCTGTGACCGGTTAGATATTACCGCGGGAATCTCGGCACATATCAATATATGGAACCAGAAAATCAACAATCAGGAGATTTTTACCTTTTATAAAATTGTACCTAAAGTAAGACTCCCTACTATATAAATGGGGTCTGATTACTTGTAAAACATAATTTAACATGCATTCCAAAGCAATATATTATTCTTCTCTTGAAGCCCTTATTTTAATTGTGTCCTGATATCGATCGAAGTTCATTCAATTCAAGGGTGGCTAATTTCCCAAGGCCGTAACTGTTCAACTAGTGTGGTTTGAGTTTATTTTATTATACTTTATTTCAATTGCAATTTAATTTATCGCTTTGTATCAATTTAATCCACGTATCCTTAAAACTATTTACAAATTCAATTGTTGTCTGATTTTGACGGTAAACAGCTAGTTGATCTTTCATTTATCAGAAATGAATTTCATGAGATAGTAATAAAGTAGGAATCTGTATTTCCAATTGAAAAAATAAATGAAAGAATATAGATATTGCAATACAGTGTACTTGAGATATAGGCTTGGGATACATGCCCTATTTCCACAGGACAGGATTGAAAGGCATTCTTTCCTATTGGCGAAAGAAACTTCTTTTAAATTATACTACTTAGTATGTTGGGACATTACTGAAAAGCCTCACATGGGTTTTTCATGATATTGTGCTTTGACCACTTTAGGTATTTCATCTTTTCCCCGTTTTATTTGTTTAATACCCACACATATAATAATATATATATATAACATATACTATAGTGCAATGTTCCTAGATTTGATAAGGTTGGGTGGGGAATATGGATGATAGGAATAAATGGCTTTTAGTGAAGCATGATGCCTTAGATAGAAACACTACCTTGTTTGGATCCTCCCATGGGAGGCAACCTAACCCCCCTTTCTCCTTTTTTAAAGAAAAAATAACTCGATATTTACACAAACTCAATTAATACATGATATGCATCTTTATATAAATTATATCACTTAATTATGGTTAAATAAGACATCGTCGTCGTCACCTCAATTTTCTCGGGGCGGATACAGCTTGAAGGTACCAAATTCATCTAAATTCATTATTTTCGACATGGATTATAAATTTATGGGTAAAAATCTACTAAAATTAAAATAAATTAAAGATATAAAATCATAAATTTAAAAAATATAATGAGTTCAATACTAAGAATCATAAAGGCTGAATACTTAGAATTTAAATTCTGGATCCACATCTACCCTTTTTCCTTCTCTTCAACACTCTCTATTCGGGATAAAAAGAACGTTGGACCAATATTTATACGAAATCAATTAATATAGTATGCGTTTTTACATAATTATTTCTCTATCGCAAAATTATAGTTAAATAATACTACATTATTGTCACCTTAATTTTCTCTTGATCATAACCAACCAACAGAGGCGAATCTAGGATTTAGAGGCTCCGGGTATCAAAAAATTTGAACATAGTCATATTACAATTTACATTGTCTAAATAAGGTATAAACTTAATCGATTTGGTCTATTTGAATTTCGGTTCGAATTATTTATCTTTAGAGTTAATATAAACAAATCGATCGAGCAAAAAGATTACGCAATAATTATGATAATTTGGAAAGAAAATGCATAAAAATTCAACCAGATCATGCATTTGTACAAGAAAAAGGCTCGTTATCACTTTATATTTAGATACTTAAGGCAAAAACTTATACTAATAAGCACTCTAAATATTATGGAAGTTTACGAATATTTCTTAATTTATATTTTTTATGAAAATTAACTCACTCAATATTATATACAATTGTCCTACTTTAGAGCAATCCGACAACAAAATAAATTTTCACCATTGATTAAAACAATAACTTATTCAAGGATTTTTTTTATTTTTT